GTAAGTGTATGTGAATGAAAATAAAAGTGTTGTTTTGATGTCAACTCTTGTGCATGCTTTTACCTGCTTTAACACTATACTTTGCACACACAACCGGCGATCTAAATTCCCGATCGCCTTAGGAAATCCATAGGAGGTGCTAAAAGTGTGGAAACCGTGCGGGGAAGGATCCATGGCTATCCCCTTTTGGTCCCGCTCATCTTCGAATAGTGATAAAGAGGATTGTCCGATGCAAGCGCGGAATGGGGAAAATTCTTTTGATCTATTTGGGATGGGGACCTTTAGCCTTTAGAATCTCATCCTTTAGTGAACCTCACAAGTGCATCTGTGTGTCTTTGTGACTTGAAATAACGATTATCACCCATTGTAAGTATGATTTCTCTCATTATTAGTTCACTTTGAATTGAAATTTTCATTTTGGAAATTCGTGGAAATCAATTGAATGCCCTATGTGATCTAAGCTTATAATTGAAAATTTCGGGCAATCACTCTTCATAGTGAGTGTTGAGCATAAATCTCAAACATCTCTGATTTGGCCCTACAAAACAAATGGTCTTGTCTAAATTTTCAATCATGGGCTTAAAATCACATTTCGTATAGAAATTCTTCCAAGTTGAGATGGTATTTTGGGGTATAAAGTTGAAATCACATTTTTCGTGAAATTCTTTTTTGTCCTCATTTCGGAATTGAAATTCAATTTACATTTTTGTGTATTGATTTTTCAAAACAAGAATCACTTCGTTTTCTGCAAAAGTAAAATCACAAATCAGTCTTTCAAAATTGATGCCACATTTTGCATATAAAACTTTTGGAATAGAATGGGTGCTTGATTGATAGCCACAATTTAATCTTTTAATGATGTTTCCTCTTACGATGAAATCTTGGCGAAATACCAAATACCCACAAATAGGGACCATGGGGTAGGTATCATCGCCTCGCTTTCATTACAAGAGGCGGCCTCATTGAGAGATCACTTTCTCATTCATTTACTAACGTTATCTTGTCTTCGCAAGTTACGTGTGATGGATAATTATTCGTAGGTTACGCATGATGGATAATTCTTAGAATCCCTCTACCTGACTATGCAATGTAGCATACACTTCTCTAAAGCCAAGTCAGAAAAATTTGAGTCCTCTACATTCCTTTTTGGATGGTGTTCTGCCCCCGAGTTATGACGCTCTGCAGTCGCATTTGGCTAGCTCAAGAGGTCTGATACTTGCATGGGGATATATTGAAGAAGTCAGATATAAATGTTTCACCTGCTAGGAACGCATCCGAAATGCAACTTGAATGTTCGAAAGATGATAATGGTTGGAGCATGTCCTGCCCGTTTAATAACTACACGGTATTTGCGCTGCCAGAGTTTTCCAATGACTGATCTTGAGGCGAAAAGTCGTTTAGGTGGTGGACTCTACACTAATCGTTGGTCTCCTTCTGTTCCCGTTGATCTTGGGCCTAGCATCATTACTGGTGTTGAAGCCGATACCGACACTAAAAGCAGTTTAGATTTTTTCTCACTAATCCGTTCACAGTTGAACCTTGAATTGATTATGTTAAACGAGGATTCTCTCTCTCTCTCTCTCTCTCTCTCTCTCTCTCTCTCTCTCTCTCTCTCTCTCTCTCTCTCTCTCCAGATCTAGGTTGACGATCTCTAGTCGACGCTCGCTCTCTCTCCAGATCTAGGTTGACGATCTCTAGTCGACGCTCGCTGAGAGTCAATGGTTGAGTATCACTGAAGTTCAAGGATCGATGGTCGTGGACCTATCTCAAACAAGATCTGGAGGGTCACGGATCTGTCTCAAGTTGAGGCTTGAGGCTTGAGTCGCCAAAGGTCACGCAAGACTTGTCGATGCTCGCCTCTAGCAACTTGTTCGAGCGAGGCTTGATGAGTCCCCAATAGCCCTGCTAACTCATTTTTTCTTTTTTCTTTTTTTTTTCCTTCAAAGATGCTTTGCAAAAAAAAGAATCAAAATCCAATTATGCAAGTGTCATTTGTTTTGAGCAAATACACCTTAAATTAAAGAATTTTGGGAAAATGCACTTACCCCAAAGCGCTCTCGGCAGAACATCAAGGTTGACTTGAGAAATTTGTTATATATTTAAAATAGGCTAAGGATGGGCAAAAAAAAAAGAGTTTAAAAGTCCAAACATATAGTGAAAAAAGCTACTTTCAAAACAGGGAGAGATTTCTGACCAAAAAAAAAAAAAACAGGGGGAGATGGTGTTGTCGGGGCAATTGGCCAACATTGATGTCGGCGACAATGAAGGCGGTAGCAATGGTTAGCTGTCGTCGGCTAGCATGATTACGTCCCACTAGTACACTAGTAGAGGGAGAAATTATCCTAAAAATTTTAAATTTATCACGTTTTTACCGATTTAATCACAAATATTTTCACGTTTTGTCAATTGAGTTCATCTGGTCAATTTTTGCCAGAAATCACTAATGTGGATGCCGACCGTCGTACATGGCATTACCGACACCGACGTTGATAATTTTAATAATATTTTAACAATTTTTTCGAACTTTTTGTCCTTTTTTTCTTCATTTCCTTCTTTACTTGTTTTCTTTTTCTTTTCCTTTTCTCTTATTTTTTCCTTTTTTCTTTTTCCCTCCGCCGGCCATCATTAAGCCTCATTGATGGCCAGGCAAGGTTGCCGACCTCAGGCGAGGGCTGCCCTTGCTCGATCTAGTGAAGGCTGCCCTCACTTGAGACCGGCAGAGGGAAAAAATAATAAAGGAAACAATAGAAAAGTAAAATAAAAAGTAAATAAGGGAAAGAGAAGAAAAGAAAAAAAAAGGAAAATAAAAAAATTGAAATTTTGAAAATATTATTAAATATTATCCATGTCAGCGTCAGCATTAACCGTGCCACATGGGACGGTCGGCGTCCACGTTAACGATTTCCAGCTAAAAACTAATTGGATGGACTCAATTGGCAAAATATAAAAAGATTTAGAATTCAATTGGCACAATAAAAAAGTTTATGACCGAATTTTCAAAGGTGTAATAGGTTTTATAACTTTTTGGACAATTTTCCCGAGAAATCCCATTCCTATTCACTCATTCAAATTGTCTTTTACTCATTTTCACGACAAAGAAACTAACGATTCTCTCAAAATACAAAATGTCCAATCCAAAGGGGGCAAATTAGGTGTAAATTTCCACGGGTACAAGGTACAAGATGTACAAGGTTGGATATGTCTTTGTACCCCAACATGCCAATTATACGTGTTCCCTAACCTAACTTATCATATAGGTACAATTTTTTTTTAAATCAATTGCTGAAATTAATTGTACCTACGGTGTTCCCAATTGAATTCTCATATGGGCTATGGACACGTGATTGCGGGCGAGCTTTTGTCCCTAGCCTGCCTTTTGCAAGTTGTACGGGGGTACACACGCACAATTATACCCACTATATTACTTTCCCCAAAATTAGATGAATCCATTTAATTATCCAATCAATGAGACGACGGTCCAATTAAAAAAGAAGAAGAAGACATTATAAGACTTGTCAATAATTTGGTGGGAGGGGGAAATAAATATTGCCGGGCGCTCCCGTCCGAGCCTAAGGCAACATTGAGTGTACGTCTCGACTATTTATTTATTTATTTATTTACATTTTTATATTATGTATGATTATTGCTCCACGTCCCATCATGTGCATATGCTTCGAAGCAGTGGAAAAGCTTATCGTGTATGTCAGATTTAACATATGCATCGCCAGAAAAGCCAACTTGGAATTCATAAATGGATCTCAAATTGTCGTTTCGTCTTCGGCAAATTATTTTGGTGGGTCCCGCCAGCGATTAGGACGCCTAAATCATCTGATTAATCTTATAATTTTATAATTATAAAGTGTCGGACCTGTCTGCCGTGTGGTGGAGCTAATCCACGAGCCACAAGGGTGCTTTGTAGATAGTCTCGTTATTTTTTTGTGTTTTTTTTCCGGGTCGGATGCAAGATAGTCTCGTTCGAGATAACGTATCTTAATCAGTTATGTGCACATTTTTTTACCAACATCGTTTTACAAGAGATTTTGAAGCTTTCTCGGGGCACGACATTCTCGTTCATCTGATCCGATCGCCGTACACGAAATGTTATTATTTTGAATATGAGGCCTAGCCTGGTGAAAAGCGGTTGTCAAGATTCAATTTTTTTTTCTTTATTTCGTTGATTGGGAAGAAATGGAATAGACCGTCCGCCAAAACAAAGACAAAGGGAGATCTAAAGTGTGGAGAGGATAAGAGCTTAATGATGAATAAGTATATCAAGCCTAAAGAGAGCCTGTACTTGACTTGTAATTTCTTTCGCTAACCTATACTATCCATAAAGGGAGAGATTTAAGAAGTGACTCTCCGCTAGAATATGCTGATTGTGACATAGATAATCAAATTCGCCGCGTTCCAAAAACATGAAAAAACTTTCTCAAGCAATCAACCAAGCCTTCTCAAGAGAGCTTTTTGGATAAAACTCGATCAATTCACCTCTCTTTATAACTACTTCAAATTCCAATTCTTCTCAACTTTCAACATTTCATCCCACGCACTCGTTCCTCTCCATGTTCAATGAATGCTGCCCTTATATAATTTCGAGAGAACCATCAAACATGCACATGCCGCATTCTATAGAGAGCTATGAACGAGAAAGATAAAAAGGCCAGACAAGTTAGCTTCAACAAAAAAAAGAAGAAAAAAAACCTCAAATCGTAAGCAATTTCAGAGTCGAGGTTCCGTATATTTCTCGAACATTGGAATCAGATAATATTCGAGACCGCTTTCTCATTAGAACTAATCTTTTAATTAATTTGTGATGCCAAGATATTCTATAAATCTTCCCACAAAAAAAAGAAGAAAGAAAGAAGAAATACACACACATATAGAAACAGGAGCAGTTGACCAACGCAAATAATCGGAGGAAGAGACCGGGGGGGCCCACATCTTGCATGAGAGAGGGGCCGAGGTGGTCGGACCGAACCCATCGAACCGAACCGGAGGAGGCGGAGGAGGAGTTAGCGGAACTAATCATCAACTCCACCGTCTCCTCTGTCTCCGGCGTCACTCTCTCTCTCTCTCTCTCCGCTCGCATTCCCTCGCCATTTTCACCGAGCAAGAGAAGAGCAGCAGCAAGCGCGCGAGCGAGCGAGAGAGAGAGAGAGGGAGCGCGAGCGCGAAGTCCCGCGGCTAAAGTTGTCTGCAGCAGCAGCAGCTGCTCTTCTCAGGGTGAAAAATGAGCGCTCCGAGCTCACCCCTCCTGCTGGTCCGGAGCTCCTCCTGCTGAGCCGGGTGCCGTCCGAATCTGGTCTCCCGTCGGTGCGACATGCGCTTCGCTAAGCTCGTCGATCGGTTCAAGAGCACCCAGGTCCACGCCATCAACCCTCCCGACCCCGCTCACCCCGCCACCGCCGGCGATGCCTCCGCCGCCGCCGCCGCCGGAGGAGGGGGCGGCGGGGGCAAGCTGAACGGGCACTTCCTCAAGTTCATTGGGTCGAAGCCGAAACCGGCGCAGCCTGCTTCGTTGGCGCAATCTCTCCTCCTCGCCTATGGACTCCCCACGGTTGACCTCATCGAGCCCCCGATCGAGCCTTACCTCAAGCCGGTTGATTTCGTGGAGGCCTTGGCCGACGTGTACCGCCGGCTCGAGGGGTGCTCTCCGTCGGAGAAGGCGTCGCTGTGCGTCGAGCAGTACTCGATGCTGCGGAGCCTCGGCGACACGAAGCTGCTCCGGCGGTGCCTGCGGGCTGCGCGGCTAGGCGCGACCGATGTGCACGCCGAGGTCGTGCTCGACGCGTGGCTGCGGTTCGAGAGGAGAGAGGATGAGCTGGTGGGTTTCCATCCCATTCAAGGTGGGGATAGGATGTCTGAATGTCCACAGTCCAATTTGATGTGTGGTTGTGGTTCTAGCTCAATCTGCTCTTGTCAGTATTATGAGAAAACGAATGCGCTGAACAATGTGCAAACGCTTGATGGGGATGAGAATTTTAGCGTAGAGGAAGAGGAGGAAGATGTTCTATTTTGTGTTGGTGATGAGGAGGTCCACTGTATTAGAAGTAAATTTGCAGCTTTATCCCTTCCATTCACGGCCATGTTATATGGTCATTTTGCAGAATCTAAAGAGGCAAAGATTAATTTCTCTCTCAATGGGATCTCTGCTGAGGGATTGCGAGCTGTCGAAATATATAGCAGGACCAAAAGGTTGGACATGTTTGGTCCTGAGATTGTTTTGGAGCTACTTTCTTTCTCAAATAAATTCTGTTGCGAGGAGATGAAATTGGCATGTGATGCTTATTTAGCTTCACATGTTAGCAACCTCGATGATGCCTTGATTCTCATCGAGTATGGTTTAGAGGAGACCTCCTATCTTCTCGTAGCATCTTGTTTGCAGGTGTTGCTCAGTGAGCTCCCGAGGTCACTACGTAACCCAGGTGTGATGAAGATTTTATGTAGCTCCGAGGGTAGAGATAGACTGTCCCAAGCAGGACATGCTTCATTCTTGCTGTACTATTTCTTGAGCCAAGTGGCTATGGAGGAGAGTATGGTATCCAACATCACTGTGATGTTATTGGAGAGGCTGGAGGAGTGTTCTACTGAAAGGTGGCAGAAGGCACTTTCGCTGCACCAATTGGGTTGTGTGATGCTCGAGAGAAAAATTTATAGTGGTGCGGAGCATTATTTCGAGGCAGCATCTGAATATGGTCATGTTTATTCAATAGCTGGTATTGCGAGAGCAAAGTATAAGCAAGGCCAACAATATTCAGCTTATAAGATGATCGACTCTCTCATCTCCGAAAACACAATGGTTGGTTGGATGTATCAGGAACGATCTCTCTATGGTGTGGGGAGGGAGAAATTGTTGGATGTGATTAGTGCGACTGGACTGGACCCTATGCTCTCATTTCCCTATAAGTACAGAGCTCTGATAAAGGTGGAGGAGAAGCAGATTAAAGCAGCCGTGTTAGAGATTGACAAAATTATCGGGTTTAGGTTCTTACCTGACTGCCTTGAGTTACGTGCTTGGTTCTTCATTGCACTTGAAGATTATGGAAGTGCGATGAGAGATGTTAGGGCTCTTTTAACTTTGGAACCTAATTACAAGATGTTCAACGCAAAGGTTAGTGGAGGCCAATTGGTAGATTTACTCAGCCATCAGGTTCAGCAAACAAGCCAGGCTGAATGCTGGATGCAACTTTACGAGCGGTGGTCTTCTGTTGATGACATAGGCTCTTTGGCTGTCATACATCAGATGCTAGATATTGAACCTAAAAGGAGTCTTCTCTGGTTTCGGCAGTCTCTTCTCCTCTTGCGGTACACATCCCTTCTTTTTCACTTCCTTTTAAACTACACCGTATATTATTATCATGAGTGTTGTTGCGCTTTGAGTGAGAAGGCCTAGCCTTTGAATTTGGGTAATGATTTCTGTTGAACTTCACACTCCCCGTTAGCAAAACGATATTCCTCTCCAGAGTGACCATTTGTGCAATTTAATAAGTAGAAAGCTATTGCATGTTTTCCAGTTTTTCATTTTTGTTTTTTCAAGTCCAATTGTACTCTTTTAGCCGCTATTGTCTGTGACATCTAGAGCTACGGCAAAAGAAACGTCTAGCGGGCACTTTTATACTTCATGCTGTTGTTTAATGCTCGTATAGAAGCTGGAGGGATGTAGAATTCACGGCTTTCATAATTATTACAGGTTGAATAGTCAAAAGGCTGCAATGAGGAGCTTGAGATTGGCTCGAAATAATTCGAGCTCTGAGCATGAAAGATTGGTATATGAAGGATGGATATTATATGACACGGGCAATCGTGAAGAAGCTCTCTTGAGGGCTGAGAAGTCTATTACTATTCAAAGATCATTTGAAGCTTTCTTCCTTAAAGCTTATGTCCTGGCAGACACAAGCTTGGATTCAGAAGCCTCCTCTTATGTTATCCGACTTCTGGAGGAAGCTCTTGGATGTCCTTCAGATGGTCTGAGGAAAGGACAAGTGAGTGTTATAAATACTACAGTCTCACCCTTGGCTATATTGCTTGGAAAACTTTTTTGATTGTTTGGCTCGAATTTGTTGCAGGCATTAAATAATTTAGCAAGTATTTATGTGGATTGTGGCAAACTTGAATTGGCTGCCACTTGCTACACGAATGCTCTTGACATTAAGCATACAAGAGCTCATCAAGGGTTGTCACGTTTATATCATCTGAAAGGTCAAAGGAAAGCTGCATATGATGAAATGACCCAGCTTATAGATAAGGCACACTATAAGGCATCAGCGTATGAAAAACGGTCAGAATATTGTGACCGTGACATGGCACAACATGATCTTAATATGGCTACCCGGTTGGATCCACTGAGGACCTATCCATACAGATACAGGGCAGCAGGTATTTTCCATGGCCTCGAATGTTTGCTTTGAATGTGCTGTTTACTCTAATGGAAAGGGATAGTCTACTTTTTGTCTGATAGATTAGGTCTCACCTACTCGTGTAAATTGTTTCAATGTACTTAAATGTTTGCTGTCATTATAATCAGGCTCTTAAAATGAACTGAGCGTGAGTCTTATTTCGTATTTAGTCCACTGCCAGTACTCACTACGGATCTTTACTTGAAGATAGTCATTATGTGCAAATTATTGCCAAATGTTACTGGTGAGTAAATTAAATTGAAGTTTTTGGCCACTTCATTGTTGATGCGGTTAAAGAAGTTCTGTCTTTTGTGTGATACGTCGCAATGAAGAATTCAGGAAAGAGAAGCAAAGGGAAAGGTACTATAGGGAAGAGAGAGAGAGAGAGAGAGAGATTGGTATGCAATTGATGGATGTAATCAAACATTCTATGGTACCTCTCTGTTGTTATTCCCCTATTTCAATTCATTCCTGACAGAGAGAGAGAGAGAGAGAGAGAGAGAGATTGGTATGCAATTGATGGATGTAATCAAACATTCTATGGTACCTCTCTGTTGTTATTCCCCTATTTCAATTCATTCCTGACATCTATTTACTTTCCAATACTTTCGTTTATGTTCTGAACTTTTGCCTGTTTTCACGGTGTCTCTTTTACCAGTACTAATGGATGACCAGAAAGAAGTGGAAGCTGTTGAAGAGCTTACTAGAGCCATAGCATTCAAGCCCGACTTGCAAATGCTTCATCTTCGAGCAGCATTTTTTGAGTCAATGGGAGATTTCAGCTCTGCTCTCCAGGACTGTGAGGCAGCTCTCTGCCTGGATCCAAACCATCTGGAGACGCTTGAACTCTATCATCGAGCACAAGGCAGAGTAACTGAACAAAAGAAATGACTGATTTGATACAAAAGCTGTTGGTAAGTAAAATTCAATTGTTGAATTTTGTGAGGAAGGTCTCTCAGGGACAAGAAAACGGATAGATACACTGGAATTGCGATTCACTCAACTTGGAGCTGCAAACTTGCCATGTCCGTGAGAAGGTATAGTCAGAGAATGAACAAAGAGAAAAGGAATGGCAAATGTGAAGGCCTGCTGGATAGAGTGCTGCACAAATGTTAACTCCTGCAGATGATGGTCCCACCGGCATGGATCAAGAATCGACTGGATGAGAAGTGGAACGGGACTGTGATTTTGATTACCGTCATAAGATTATTTTTCTCATTCAAATAGTACATCCAGTTCCAATACATGTTTCTCTCTTTTAGATAGAGGCTTTTCTCTTCCATTCCTTGTGTATAAACATAAGTAGAGTCTCAAAATTCTGTAACTTTCCACGGAAAAGTCGTCTCACTTGATTCTGTTGCGGTATTTTAACTTATGCATTCATTAAGAATATATATACACAAGGGACCAGCATAGCAGATGAACCGTGAACGAACTTAATTTTATCTTGTTGGACTGTTGAGCGAGATATCAATGTTACAGGTTGCTGTACTTCATGGCTTTGGTCTAACCTTGCTGATAGTTGAATGGTTTCTGATGCATCCATGATAAGTGGCAAGAAAGGCAGACTCTACACTTATGAGAAGAAAGCTTAAGTGCCATGCCAACGCATTCTCGACTTGTTTATCACTGTCATGTCATACATATGCGGCTTTTTTAGGCCGGTCCAACATGCGCGGCGTGGCTAATTGGGTGCCCCATATAGGATCATACATTCCTACATGCAAAACGTTAGTTTGTTTGCTACTGGTTGGAGGCATTGGTTGTAACCGTGAGGAGGGTTTTAGCCAGATGGGAAGAGTTTATGCCCTGTTTGTAACTGCAGCGAGGAGCATAAGTTACATAACAAAGATCAGAGGGAGCCGGAAGAACCTTGTCAAATAATTGTGGCACCTAGCAAATATATTTGCACAAATTGACTTCCGAAGAACATGTTTTTTCGCGTACTCTGTTAGAGTGTTCTCTCGGAGGTTATGTTGGCTTTTCTCATAGTATAGCGGAAGCGAATCACTTACCATCTGCGCTTCTCTTAGGGTATTAGCCGCTCTCTCTCTCTCTCTCTCCTTCCTCCCTTGGCTCCGGTGTCTCTCTACCTTCATCTGCGTCTGTCGATGATGACGGAGCCAAGTTCGAATAGCTGAACCAACTCCCAGTGTCTCTTCGGCTCCATCTGGGATCATCAATGATGATTAAGCCAAGGTCGAATGGCTTGATCATCTTTGATGAAGCCACAATCATTTAGATAAATATAGGGAGGGAAAGACACAGTCAACACCGTGGTGATGGCAACGGTCTGTGGGCGACGAGAGTGTGGCCAGCGTCGTACCGGTGGCTGGCGAAAACAAAGGATAAAGCGGCGAATGCGGTGCTGAGCGACTTGGTAGGAATTTGTAGATAGAAATAGCTGTGTGTTGTTGCAGTTCTTTGATTCAAAGCAGCGAGTTTGGCATCTTCGTCAAGGCGTTCTTTATGAAGTCATAATGAAGGAAGTGAATGCAAGGTAGGTCAAATGCCAAGTTCGGCTGCATAGGTGCTTTCCATTTAGGAAACCTATCCATACCATAGTCATTGGTGAGATGACATTACTATCGGTCGGTTCAGCTCTCCCCATCAACATATATTTATCCTCTTCCGTTCAATGTTGACGTGCTTTAACCATTCTTTTTTTTTTTTTTTTTGTTCTACTCACGATCTGAAAAAGAAAGATCAGATCAAACAGTGCAAGTGATGGTTCCTGTTCTTCTAGGTGACAAGTTCACATAGATTCCAGCCAATTTGATGCTGATCCCATCTTCTACTGAATCTGTCGCTTACCTCATGTCATTTCCACCCAACTCATCATCTGGTGTGATTTTGTTTATAGTTACTCTCTCTTTCACAAAACCCATCTAACACATTAAGCAACAATGTCTCTCCTTCATCGAAGCAACAATGTCTCTCCGTCATCGAAGAGTCATTCCGAATCTGCACAACCGGAGTAGTTTTCAACTCAGGGAACAACTACCCCAATTAGACCAACTCGGTTTTCAGGGCACCCGTGGATTTTTCTGTCGATGAATTCGAAGGGGGTCGACATTCGACGACCGAAACAACAGCAACAACAACAAGATCGAAAGATGTGCATCTATCGAAAGCGAGCCACAGGAAACTTCACAGCACTTGAAAATCTCATAACATCAATCGCTATTACATATGTTACAAGGCCATGTGAAACGAAGAACATGGCATGTTGTAGTCCTACCTCTCCCGTCACAGGTTGTCGCTACTTTCCCCGTACAGGACAATAAGAAAAGGGAACGGACACTAAAACCAAAAAGGTCAAAAAGTCAGCTTGACTTTTGTTCATCCCACCATCCCCTCCATATGGTAATGGCCCAATGGGGGTACTATGCTTATGCTTCCCACTTATTTATTGGGCCTATGCTTGTTTCCCCATTAATTATGAGCAAAAAACAGAAAAGGAAAAATTTTCTCAGCAATTAGAAAAGCTAATGGAAAATCAAATCTAAAAGAGGAGGGTCCAAACAAAAGAAAACTTACAATTAGCAGGGCACCATGGTATTAAGATAACCAATCACATCAAATGCGTTCACATGGTACTTGTGATGGCCGTCAGCATGTCGATGTCGTCACGCCATTGTATGATCGATTTGATTTAGCAAAACGGTGCCGGATAATTAGAGCGGCGCGGATGTACAAGAGGGGCACTTGACGAGGCCGTTCTCGTTGCAGGCCGTGCAGCTCCGGAATCCGGTCTTCTCGGCGTAGAGCTTGTGGCTGCCGTCGCACTCCCCGCACAGGACGAACCGGTACCCGCCGCAGGCGCCGCAGACGCCGGGCTCCGCCGGCGGCGCGCCCTCCACCAGCTTCTTCAGCTCCCCGATCTCGTGCAGCTGACGTATCTCCTCGGCGCCGCCGACGTACCGGCCGCCGATGAACACCCGCGGCAGCGCCAGCTTCCCCCGCTGGCCGCCGCCGCCGCCGTGGCCGAGGATCCCCTGGAGCTCCGCCAGGAAGCCGGAGTCCATCGACAGGTCCCGCTCGTCGATCCTCACGCAGAAGCCGCGCAGGATGGATCGGACGGCCTTGCAGTCCTCGAAGGTCGACCTCACCACGCGCAGGCTGGTGAAGTAGACGACAATGCGGTTGCCGTCGGCGGCCCCGGGGATCGGGACGGGCTGCGCCTTGACGTGTTCGGGTTCGGGTTCGGGCGGGGGGACGGAGCGGGAGCGAAGGAGAGAAGAGGTGGCGGCGAAGGTGGGACGGAGGAGGATGGGGCGGTTCCGGGGGGAGAGAAGAGGGGAGGAAGGCTCGGCGCAGAGGGCTTGGATGTCCTTGAAGGTGGTGCATGAGAAGATGCCGGAGGAGGAGGACGGCGATGACGACGGTGAGGATGGGGGGCCGCGAGCTTTGACCGTCGATTTGGCCCACGGCCGCCACATCGAGGGCGGAGGTAGAATCTTTCCTATTTTCTCTTAACTCTCTCTTTACGGATCTTCCCCGGAACGGAATTGGACGAGGTGGTCGGGGAGGTGGGAGCTAGCTACGGACGGACGGACGGACGTTGGTGGGAGGGCGGGGTGAAAATGGCGATGGTTAGAGGGGGAGAGATTGATGAAAGTTTTGGTTGCTTGAAGGGAAGGCATGCGGAGGAATGGAGGGAGGGAGGGAGAGAATGGTGCAGATTTTTGGAGAGGTCGGTTAAGGTAGTTGAGAGAGAGAGAGAGGGGAAGGGTTGGGGTTAAAATTTGCTTTTTCTCTCTTCTTTTCTCTTTATTCATTTTTTTTCATTTAATTTTTTTTAAAATTTATCTTAAATTGAGGTTATTAAAATGGATAGTGGGCGGGGGGGATAAAGGAAGATGAGAGGTTAATGTGATGGATGGGATGATCGCGCCTAATTATAGATCAGTGGTCCTAATTCGCTTCCAAAATCAAAGGTCAATTTTGCCCTAGTTCTTTTTCCTTTACTTTAACAACCCGGTTGAATGTCTGTATCATTATTTCCTTGCAAGATGTAGAGTACTGTACTGCTAACTGCTACTGCGATCGGGGATGCCTTGGTCCTGGCGGCAGAATTAGCGGTCGCATTTTCGAAGGTGGAAGATTAATCTTGAAATAATTTTTCCCATTTGCGACTTAAAAAGAAGGTGAAAAATAGGATCGTGAACGGGCGGGGGGGACCACTTGCATGTAACTGGCCCTACCTCATCTTCATATAAGCAACTTCATCCCCACGTACGGTTCAGCACGAGGTTCTTAGGACGGGAAGACATCCCTATCGCAATGGAAATCAAGAGTCCGACACATTCACAGGAGGGGGGCATGCGAGATTCGGAGATGGGGGCGGTCGGCACGTAAATGTTTTCATACCCTCTCGGAGTTTGGTGTGCACAACGACACAGGCATCTCTACGAGCAATTTGAAGAGGCGGTCGAACCGCACCAGAGCGGTGAGAGGAGGAGAAAAGGCCACAACGTGAAATTGTTGGGGGGGGGACCGCTAATTACTACTGTCGAGGGATGTTTTTTGTTTTCTTGACAGTCCGGCATGAGTGAACTCACGCAAAAAGTAAAGCGAAAGCCTTCAAAAGCTTTGAAGGAGATAACAGAGTTGAGTGGGATTCTGAAAAGGGCCACATGCCTCAGTGTACCAGAAGGAGAGCGGAGGAGTCTAAAAAGCGGTGGAGGAGGATTAAAGCCTCAAAAACCACATGCTCTCTGCCCGGGTGGGAACCTGGAACAGAAGAGACTCGTCCATTCCATGATGCACCCCCAAATAAAAGCATCGTATTCCATTAAAAGGATTCGATTCTCATCACTTCCCCACGTAGAAAATCCATGATCGAATTGAAACCTGCCACTCTTGTAGCATCAGCCGGTCTTCGGCCTTGCCCGTTTCCTGCTCTTAAAGCATTTCACAAATCGGACCAGGCAAATAGTGCGCATTGGATATGCAGCTTCTGAGATTCTGCCTTTCGAACCCAGATTTAAGCTGGGTATCGAGCAACATCCTGGTTAAGGGGGAAAATACCACTAAAAAACAGCAAGCGCCGAGACTCGCAAATGACGCAACATCGACATTGTGCTCAAATGGTTCATATCAGTATTAAATGTATGTGACTTACTCTTGTCATACCCTAAAATATTTTGGGGAACACCCCGTATACTCGACCAGAAAAATTTTTAAATCAAGTCAAAGCCGCCCTCGGACCGCCCTAAGACATGATGAGGATAGAACAAAGCCTAACGGAAGTAAATCGATATTTGAGGGATATCAATGTCATTGCCCCCGTCGTCCTCACACGCCACTACGACATCCACATGGCGACGGTACGGAGGGACTTCCAACTTTGCTACTTCTTTAGCCAGATCCGCAACTTTCCTGTCCATTCGCTCCTGGTGCCTAGGGAACATACTATTGTACAGCAAGCAACTTCCGCAAGAAATGCTATAGGCACTAAGGCCCCTATCTTCAAGCCACTGCATAAGCTCCCTCAAAGTCGGGTTGTTCTCGACGATCCACCTATCCCAAACAGTCCAGGTCATATCACGGTGTTTCACGGCTTTGGGTGGGACCGGCTCAGCCATGGAGAATAGTGGAAGTGCCAAGTTAGCAAAAGTGTTGCGGTAGTCCTCCAACTTGTGCCCTCCATCGAGAACCTTGTACAGCTCCAGACAGACAAGTCCAGTGGCCATTGCAGTCGCAGTTGCGATGGCTGGGATGATTCGTCCAGCAATAAACTTTGCTTTAAGCTTGTCCACTTCTGGAATGCTGTAGTTCCTAGCCCTCATGTTGGCTAATGCCGCTATCAGGTCCATGTGATAGTTTGTATCATCATCCTGTACATGACAGAAAGTGCAATATCTGTTGAGGGCTTTGACTAAAAGGAAAGTAAATATATGAAAGAAATCATCGAATTCATAGAACCATTCCAAGAATAGGAGTTTAGCCAAATAAAACGGCACGCATATGAAAAGAGTGACTCCTACGCACCTTCTCAAACTGTATGGGTTTCATTCTAAAACCTGGAGGAAGGTTCGTGCGGCAGCGCTCTAATCTCGTAATAAGGTCATTAATAACCGCCGCGTCGTCAATAGATGCCACAGAGACACTGGTCGCCTTCTCATCTGTCACGATATTTGCATTTTCCTTTGGCTGAAAGCCCGGAACTATCACTTCATCAACAGCTTCAGCCGCTTTCTTAGGGTTTTTAGCCCAGTCAGGAACTCGGATCCCAAAGGTCTCTGCTCTCAGTATCGATGCCGCCATAACAAAATGAAGGTGCCCAGGATCAGAGACCGAGAACTCAAGTGGACGAGGGAAACGCTTAGGTGCAGACCAGAAAGGAGCTCCAGTGCTGGTTAAAGCATTTTCAGGAAATGTATATATCAACTGCTTCACGCGATTAGTGAAATAATCTTCAAACCTGGTACAGAAGAAGCAACAGGTCAGTCACAAACCTAATGTAAGCTTTCTAGGTATTGGTATGAAAAACGATCGCAATGAATGTGAAAAAAGAGTACTTCAGACGAGCCCAGGAGATGCACTCTTCAAATGTCTTGCATCTTTCCTTGTCAAGGCACTCAAGTACATGTTCCAAAGTGTCCCTCGCCTGTGCATCACCAGCATTGATCATTGCCTTTTTATACTCCACTGGGTTAACCAAATAAGCATTCACTTCAGCTGGAGTCTTCTCAAGCAAACCCTCAAACTCGGATCGAGCCCAGGTCAGACAATGGTCAATATTATGTGGAAAAGAGTGCACAGTGCACATTGGTGCTTGTTTCTCTGGAGGGTCTCTTGAGGCACCATAATTTTCAGTGAGATGAGGAATAACCATTTGAGTGTTGCATTTGGCACCAAGCGTTCCTGACTCGAGAAGTGGTTTCTGGAAATATAAGCACCTTTGATCAACATAAAGCCTAGCATTGACATTGTCTAGTGCATTGATCACAACACTCAGATTTTCCCAGAAAGTGTCATCAAAAACATTCTCTGTTTCTGGCCCAACACGATTCTGCAGAGCTTCAACATTAAGGCGAGGATTTATTGATGTTGCAGCTGAGACAGCAACAGTAGATTTGGCCTGCCCAATATTCCAATCACGAAACAGGAACTGTCTGCTGAGATTGCTCTTCTCAATTACATCATCATCGGTGACGGTCAGCTTCCCATGCTTGCCACATGAAACGCCCATGAGGGCAATATTCTTTAGGAATTCACAACCCAACGCACCAGATCCTACTAGAAAAACTTTAGCATCTGCCATTTTCTTTTGCAGCTTGGACCCAAACACGGAAACCTGTGCATCATATCGGCTATTCCGAGGTTGAAGATCATCAAGATCCAGTGGTTCCGTTGGCAATGATTCCACCGAATCAAAGTAGAAAAACTGCAAAGGTTAAAAGAGCAATCATGGCAATAAGTAGTCAGACTTCTGCATCTTGACAATAGCCAAATCCACTAATACTGTCTGTGTGTTAAAAGGGAAAAAACACACCTATCAAATTGGTAAAAATCTGAAAGGTCCATAAATATGGACTTCCAGACAATGGACTGTGTTTTCATGGGAAATGAACTCATAAAAACTCAATCACCTTAATGAAATGAAGCTCAAAATATGATCATTCAGGAACCATTCAACAGAAAGGGAAGTAAGAGCACAAATTTTAATTCACAGATTCATGCAGCGAGTGAGAAGGCTTTACCTGAACGAGTGGCTGGAACTTCCCTGAGCATGCCTTTACAACCTCCTGACCCACAATTCCCCCAAACATGGCAGCCATTGGATTTAAAACTGCCCTAGAACCAAAAGCAAAGTGCTGCAGAAGTTTTGGATTGATATCTTCCAATTTCCCATCTCCCAAGCTCTCATTTATACTGCTGGCAACAGTTACAAGCCTCTGAGCATCCTCTTCTGAGCCAGCGACAGGGTAACGCCCAAACTCTGACACAAACTTATCAAGAGCTAGAAATGCCAAATGGAGGAGAGGAGGACGATCAAACTTGGAAAAGTCACTCAAAAGAAAATCACCGGGATCTTTTATAGCTTCTTTAAGGGGCTTAAACTTCAGTACTTTAGGCAGTTTCACTTGGGTTACTATGCCACCTTTCTCATAAGCTCCATAATTCGTGGTATCTTCCTCGAGAATAAAAGAATAAGGCCTGGCACTCTTGATCTTCCTTGGCTTTCCATCATTCAATTCAGTCATCCCATGAACTTCAGAGAATACAACAACGTCGCCATCTTGAAATTCAAGCCTTTCATCATCTACACATGACACTAGGGCAGGATTGTCATTGCTGATGGATGCAATTATGCCTGTATGGGGTTCCTCTCCGTCGACATCAAAGACTGTGAACTCTGGTCCAAAATCACAGAAAACAGAGCCAAAAAGGCCTCTAACTTCAGCTTTTATGAAAGAGATAGGAGGTTGATGAGTATGGCAATAATCATCGAACTCGATGGCTTTCTGAAGATCAATATCTGTAAATACAACAACCTACATCACCCACAAATAAAACAGACACATTAGCTTTCATCAATTACAAATTACATTCACATTGCATGCTATAGTTTTCAAAGTCTACAATTGTCTACTCAGTATCCCCAGGTGTTTTGCTAGGCATTATCAGTTTGCCTGAATTGTCACTCCCCTAAACTTTGTTTTAATAAGAATCAACAGCAGTTTATCGCAGGGATTTATCTCGAGAATAGAGAGAATACAAGGCATAAATCTAAAAATCTACAAATAAATAAAGGTAGAGGAGCCAATCAAATTGAATAATATCATCAATGTTGTCATCAGACTCCAGAGAAAAAGATAACGCAAGGCCCTCATCAGCCACACATATGCCGAGCAATTTAAATACAGCAGTTCAAACAACTTTCCCTTCCGTTGAATCTGCGCAAATCATCCATGTGCATAAGTACAACTCGATGCTGTCCGATCAATTTATCAGACATGCAGATAAAAATTGAGCAAAGGTTTAAGAAAAGGGTTCATGTTGAATTGGAGACTGATGTATCTATTTCACCAATAAAATGAATGGTCCTATCTGAATAAATTGAAGTCTAGTGAGCAAACTAGAGTATGGTTGCCCAGTTAGGTTGACCTCCATGAGTCCTCTATCTCTCTCCAAAGATGGAGCAGAATTCATTTTTTCAATTCCAAGTACCCACTCACATTGACGGAGTGAGTTCTTTGCTGGAAGTTCAATTAGGAAAGGAAGACACCTTTAAATTGTAAATTGAGGCACAGTAAAAGTGGAGTCCCCTATTAACTTCATCTCCTCATAAAAAGAGCAAGCAAGGAAAAAAATTTCTCCCCCACTCTATGTCACAACATGCATCACACGTCTTCGAACCCTTAAACTATCAATTTACAAGAAGTAATGACCATGAAACAAGCTCACATCAAAATTCAATAGAACAAGTGCATTAAGTCCAAAGTCCCTTTTTTCTTCAATCCACCAACCAAAGTAAATATCCAAGAAACTAGGGAACAATCTCGCCAAAGACTGCAAATATCATGTCCTCAGCAACAAATCACACGGGCCATCTGATATATTATCGGGAGTACACTTCTTCACCGGTCAGTTAGCGATATAACTTACGATCTATACATGGACTTCCCATGCCTTCACAAAATGCAAAGCAGATATGTTATTCAACAACAGAGGGTAATACATCAGAACTTAAAACATCATATCTGTTTGGCATGGCTTTATTTCCTGGTCCTTGGCACTATACACACAACTTTTGCATTTTCTTGTGCTATAGTACGTTGTAACCATAGCTACAACGGGGAGATTTCTCAAAGTGTTGTAATGATTAATAAATCAAGTGTTTTGCACATGATTTATTACTCAACTTATTTCTTCATCGCTAAACATTCTTGTACCCTAAAACTAACGAAAACATAGAGAAACTTTTATACATAGAAGCTAGAAGCTAGAAGCCTAGAACAGGAGAAGTTACAAAAACATGTATTTTGAAACCTTCAATCTCTCTGCTGTAGATTTTTGAAAGCAAAAACTACTTTCCAAAATAACCACCAAGCACCTCATACAATTTATTGTGTAAACTACAGAGACCAGTTATTAATGTTCGAGTATCAATTTCAGGCTCTATTGAACTTTCTCAAGGACAAAGGCGTCTAGAGAGAATAGAAAAGTTACGATAAAAAAGACTCTTACTTTTGTATCACCAATCTTCCATCTATTACATTCCAAAATCAACTACACAGACTAGTTCTGTATGTCCTAGTATCTATTTCAGGTTCTATCGATATCTCTCGAGAGCAAAAGCCCTTAGAGAGAAGAGAGAAGCCATAACACAAAAGATGCTCACTTTTTAATCACCAATCTTCCATCTACCTATCTTCTATGAACAGAACGATAGGGTTTTATTTGTATGGTATGTGATCCAATTGAGAATCAAACGAGTGAAGCTCGTTTGAATTGTTTGGTTGTGTTTGACGAAGACCTTCGGATGCTCCTTTAGACAGATGGTCGGGAGATGGAGACGTAATTTAGAAGAGGCATGAAAGGTGAAGAAGGACATGACGATAAGGAAAGAGATGGAGCATTTAGAGCTTGATCGAGCACAATGGTTTAACAGGATTATATTGTCAACCTCAGTTGCATAAAGCTTAAGTTGTTGTTACTTCATGTGATCCCAGTTAAACGTTACTACATCAGATGTTACTGATAGTAAGTACCAGTGAATTACACAAACTACTTGTGGTAGTGTTACAATAAGATGCTCACTTTTTTGCTTTAAGACACTATCAACACTCTTGCCAAGAATTATACTCGTTGAAGGACACAGCAATGCTTAAGTTGACCTAATAAATTATTGAAGCGTTGCCTAAACTCGTAGCCCCTCAATAATAGCAAGGAAACCACCAATTCCTTGCCAGTAACGTTGGCTAAAAATAACCTCTTCTTACCTCGATGTAGCTCATTTTAATATTAGCACAATGGATATAACTAATCTAATTGTCAGGTATGACTACTAAGAAGCTCCAACCATCAATAGCCTAGCATGCTCATTTCTCCTTGATCCATGTTTAGGATTGGTTGCAAAGAAAAATCTCAAAAACCATGGGTTCGAACATTTTTTTATAGTTCGTAATTCTACCCTGACCATGTACAGTCATCGTGACAGCTTGATAAAATAAATCGCAGTCATAGCAAACAAATGGCCAAGTAAACTTTTTAGAGAAAAAAGAATTGACTTTTCAGAAACCAGGGATTTCAGTATATTTCATTATTCATAACTACACCCTCACCATGGGCAATCATCCTGAGAGCTTGATAAAATAAGTCGCAATCATCGCAAAAAAATGGCCAAGTAACATCCTTTTCAGGGAAAAACTTTCAACCAAAGAGACATGTAGATTACCTGGAAGTCAGAAAGACGCTCTTTTGTCAGTTTTGTTGTAAGAGTAGTGACAACCACTGCGTTATTGAGCTCTTGCAGTTTCTGTACTGAGGCAAGTGCCCTGTTTTTACCAACATCAGCTTCTGAAAAGAGAAAATTGCCTGACAAATCCCACAGTTCCACCACACCTTCATCATGTAAGGTCACTGACTTGACACCAGCAAGAACAAGATTCTTTGCTGCATGAGTGAAAGTTAAGTTTAAGAAACAAAAATCATGTCCAGCTCGACTATATGTATCACATTACCATGCAACACTAACAAACAATAAGAGCGGGATGGAATGACCGAGCCGTAGCATACTTAAGACGCAGTCAAATGGAGGCATACTCTACGGGCAAAGATAACACGGTTAGTAGGTCACATTACCAACAACCGCTGTAATAAAAGATGCCCCAATGAAATTTCAAAAGAAGCAAGTCAGATTGTTCTCATACAGAACCAAATTCATCCTTTTCTCTTCTTTTGGCCAAACAGAATTTGAAGTTTTCTATGGACCTTCTACTACACTTGAAGCTGTTCAGAATGTAAACCTCGGTGAAAGGACAAGGAATCGAACATTCACCAAAAGCAGAACAAGCGACAAAACAGTGATGTCGAAGTAGAAGTTACTGTTAATTTATAATCTATAGGGCTAATTCTCCAGAAATTCCAATATGCTGCAGAGAAGAAAGAGGTAGAAAATGAGAGCAGACGCAAGTATAAATATGCATTACAAAAAATTAGTAGGGCGATGACTGACAACGCTGAAACTAATGGTCCAGAATGAGACAAAAAAACTTCAAGCATCACAATTACCGGATGCGGCCTTCAATAGAAGATAACGAAATGCTGAATTCAATAGAATCACACACACGCTATAAAAGGACGGTAACTATCTGGTTCAGCTCATACATACATACCAATCTCGACGCCAAGGCCTTGCATCCCTGAGACCAGGACATTGGAAGCGAAGAGCCGCCGCATAGTCTCGCGTCCGTACACCGCGAGCTGCCGGCTGTGCAGATCCTCGTCGATGTCCGTCGGCATCGAGTCCCCCAAAGCCATGATCGGCGCCTCCCTGCTGGTGTTGCTGCTGCTGCTCGCTCGCTCGCTGCCGCCGCCGCCGCCGCTAACGCCGTTGACGTTGCTCTTGCTGTTCTCCGCCGCCGTCAGGTCGGGAGGTCCGAAGCGGCTCTTCTTGAGGATGGAGACGCCCGAGGACGGAGCGCCGCCGCCGCCGCCGCTGCTGTCGACTCCCTCCGCTCCTCCGCCTCCGACGACCGCTCCTTCGCCTTCGCCTTCGCCTTCGCCTTCGCCTTCGCCTTCGCCCGCTCGCTTTCTAGGAAGCATAAAGTGCAGCAAGCTGGTGAACAGGCCACAAAACCCCACGCACACCGTCAACGACAACGACCACGACCACGATTCTGAAGACACAAAGACTCGCACGCGATGGAAGCGGAAATCGCAGGCGCGCTCGAGAGCTAGGCCGAGCAGGATCGGCGCCAGGGCCGCCGCGAAGCACAGCCTGACCACCGTCGAGCTGAGCCTGGGCATGACGGATTCCGATCCTCGACGGCCGAAGCGAAGCGAAGCGAAGCGCAGCGCAGCGAGGCAGAGATTGATCGCGATTGAAGCAGCGGGGATTAATCTTAGAGCGAGGGGGGAGACGTACCGGTGACGGCGGTGAGGACGGAGGAATGGAGGAAGAATGGAGAGAGAAAAGAGAGACGATGGACGATGGGTGGTTGTACCGTCTCTTCTATATGTACAGCGAGGAGGAGGAAGAGGAGGAGGAGGTGGAGGTGGTTTTTGCTTTTGTTTTTGAGCTTCTTTCTCGTCTCTTCTCTTCTCTTCTCTTCTCTTCTCTGCTGCTGACAGATTTTTCTCGGGAGAACGGCGTGACGTGGCGGGGCGGGCGGGCATCTCGGAAAGCTGAAGTCGACGACGTTTTGGGAACCCGACTTCGAGATGCCCGCGGAGCCGGAATCGGGTCGGGCTTCCTTGATCGGATTCTCGACCCCGGCAACGGTTTTGCGGAAAATTTTCCATTTGCGCCGTTGCTATTTGGTCATCTCAAGGTTCGTCTGTAAATCACGTAGACCGAATTCATCCGAATCATTGATCGAATGATATTGATCCACGTGATTTTAAGACCTTTATCAGTGGCCACTATTCTCACACGGAGAATGGAGAGGTGAGGAGTTCAAAACTCCCTTCCTCTAGACCAGGGGGACGGACTCATAGGTTTATGGGGTTTTGTTGGGTGGGCTTATTAAGGGCCCACCAAGCTCTACCTAGAAAAAGCTTTGAAGTTTAGTAATACACAAAAAAAAAAAAAAAAAGACACGATATAAGTAGGGACGTATGATCATAATAAACGCAATTGCTTTTGCCAACTCGAAATCCATCCTTTTCAATTGACAGCGGCCTAAGCAAAGAAACGATGCTTTGGACACAAAGTTGGGTCCCCACACGCGAGAGTGGGGCCCTAGTGAGTTGGTTCCCGAGTGCTGGTGGGTTCATCTAGATATAGGAGATAAGGCGGGGGCATCTCTCCCCCACCAAAGCAATTCTAGCAAAAGCAACATATTCTCTCTTTTCCCTAGATTCAATGCCAAAGCCACCGGATTAGAATAAAGTGAAAAACGAGGAGGATTACGGAAAGGTCAAGAAAAGCATCTGTAGGTAAATTAGATGGTGTTAAAAGGTTGTAATCTTCCGTTATCGAGCATTTGACCTGATCTTAGCTAAGCTAAGCTTCTTCTTTTTGTTAATCGGAAGTTCTTCCTCTGCAATAAATCATATGACCCTCGACTTGTGCTTCAAACTCTGTGAAATTATTTTAGAATCAAAAGTGAATATAATTACGAGCGAATTAGATTACTCGGAAGCTCATGAGATCGGGCATTTGAATAGTAAAAGAGCTAATCACAAGTGATTCGATGAAAATTTGCCTCTTGATATCAGTTGTGAGACCATTGTACGAGTCCCCAATTAGATTAACAAGCCGCGACATCTCCAACTTTCGTACCATGCTCATCACTAGGCAGTCGCTATCTCGTGACAATGTGTTCGAGCGAAGTAAGTGGCATGACATATACGAATGCTAATTACGTTCTCGTGTCTGAATCAATGGCTCTATCCTCTCGTACACGGAGCGGGGTCAACAGATAGCACGAGATGGGAGATGCAACGCGAGCATCATTGGGGCCAAAATCACCCGGCGGTCCTGCAATTTCGATTTCACGACGGTCGCGGGCGATTCGATCCAAGCTAAGATGAATATCATGGCTCCATTACGGAGAGGTGAATACCCTAGTCCTAAAGGAAAGGAAATGACGACTTTCGTTGGGCCATAATAGAGTTCGGAAGCAAGTTCACAGCAAGGCCCATCGAACCCACAGGGGCCTTTCACTTTCTCACGATCAGGTTGACCCCATCATCACTTGTCCAGCCCCGATCGGAGAAAATTTTAGGTGCTCTCGGAACACGGCATCTCTACCGCACGATCCCGCCCAAAACCGACCGATGTATATGGGCAGTTTGGTTGGGGTTAGGGGCGGTCGTTGGGCCACGCTGGCCCGAGCACCGCCGCGGTCGTGATGCCTGGGCCTGGACCGATACACTAGCACGGTTGGGCCTGGGCTAAGTCAGACTATGGGCCTTAATGGGCCAACCTAGGCTGGATTTTTCTTTTTTTTTGTGGATTTGACCTTTGAGGCCTGACGTTAAAAACATTTGGGGCTCAAACGCCCCAAGAATTGAACAGTCCCGGTGACCATTAGGCCCCAAAAAAACAAAATGAAAGCCCATGACCGTTGGGTAAAGGAAAAGAGTCCCTCTATAATTGGCCCCCTCCCTCTCTTATTTCACAATTCCTCCATCGATCCTCACTCGCATATCTCCCTTCGGGAGTATCGCAATGAAAAACCACAACGACGACGACCATCTTCTATTATCCAAGTTCAATCTAGATTGCGACTGGCAAAACTCATCATCCAAGTTACTTGATAAGTTCCGTGATGACCGCATTGCCTCGGCAATTAGCCCTGTTTGACGACAAGGAGACACAAAAACCCGATGATGGGCGAAATCGCCGGGCAGAATGCTGCAAGCTAGTTACCGTCGGAGGCACCCCCTTAGGGGTGTCAAACGGGTGGGTTAGGTCATAAATAATTCGACCCATATTGATCTATTTAACTCGTTTATGGCTCATTTATCACAATACAAATTTTTCAACTCATACCCAACTCATACCCGACCCAACCTGTTTAACCAAATATAGGAAAGCTTATTTCTTATGATTTTTTTAAAAAAAAAATTGTATTGCATGAAAATGTTTTATCAATACAAATTTAGTGGACAATTAATATATATTATCTTAAAATTAAGACTCCATTTGTTTCACAAAAAATCACAATATTTTTCGATTTTTTGCTAAAACCTGAAAATAAATTTGAAAATATTTTTTGCCGTTTGGTATAAAATATCTGATTTGATTTCCTCCGTGTACTCCTTTTAATAATTTTTTTATTAAAAAAATCATATTTTTTATTATTTTTATTTTCTTTTTTCTTTGTTCTTCTTCTTTCGCCGGTGACCGCCACAGACGAAGGATGAGCTCGCTGGAGGCCGGCGAGGCTCGAGCTTCCCGATCTGGCAAGGCCGAGGTGTCGCCGGCCTCGAGTGAGCTTCAAGCCTCGCCGATCTAGCGAGCTCGAGCTCAAGTCTCAATAGAGATCGGCAAGCTCGTCCCTCGCCTTTGGCCGGCCACTGCCAGGGGAAGAATAAAAAGAAAAAGAAAGAAAGGAAAAAAAATAAAAAGAAAATAATTTTTTTAAAAAAAATCATAAATTTAAACTTTTTTAAAATGACATGTTAAATAACCCACCCATTTATGACCCATTTAATACCCATTAAGTTAATAGGTGATCCATTTAAGACTCATTTAAACTTATTTTCAAAACTAAAGCCAACCCATTAATGACCCATAATCATTGAATGGGTTAATATATGGGTTATTGACCCATTCTGCCACCTCTAACCTCCTCCCCAACCAAAACCAACCACGATGACGGTTTCGCGGAAAAAAAAATGGGAGAGAGAGAATCAAGACGACTAGATCCTTTTGACTTCAATGTGTAAACCATGTGCGAATGTAATGGTCATCATGTTACGGGGTTAAATCATACCACAATGTGCGATACGTGAGGACAAATTGAACATGGACCAAATAATAATCTCGTTAGGTTGAATATCCTGTTGACCCGAAAAAAAAAAGGTTGAATATCCCCACATTTTCCTAACACGCACAACTTTCAATGAAAAACAGAAAATAACCCGAACGAGTAATTATTAGTATACGCCGTACTATTTCTCAATGAATAGTAACATTGACAATTTTATAATTAGCACTTTCCCATGCCACAGCTACTGATTTATCATAATCATCCGTTGGTTGAAATTTCTTTTTACCTTTTCGATCTAACGGTCCAGATCACATACAAGACTCTGCTTAGCTCACAAAGCAAATCTCTATCCTAAGAAAAAAAGAAAAGTTCATGATCCTAAGGATCTGTTTAGTAACGTTTCTGTTCCCATAAATAATTTCTGTTCAGAAATAGTTTTTTTTATTTTTATTCCCTAGATGAGTTTCTGAGAAAAAAATATGTTTAGTAACTGTCCAAAATTTCTACTCCCGGAGTAAAAAAAGAACAAAAATGCGTTTAGTAGGACACTAAAAATTTCTACTTCTAATTTTTTCATTTAATTATAAAATTATCGGTGGAGACTTAACGATTTATGTTTGGATAAAATTAGACTAGAAATAGAATAAGAATATATTATGATATATAATTAGATGACCTTAATACAATCATAAAGAAAATTACTCCTTGTAGACAAAGCAAATACCTGATGGTAGTCAAGGAAATTGCAGTTTAGGAGACTAAACAATTCATGTTTTGATAAAATTGGACTAGAAATAAAATAATAATATATTATGATATAGAATTGGATGACCTTAATACAATTATAAAGAAAATTACTCCTTATATATAAAGCAAATACCAATGGTGGTCGAGAAAATTGTAATTTATGATGTAGGATTTTAGGATTTTGGGTTATAATTTTAGGATTTCGGTTTTGAGATTTAGGGTTTGGGATTTTGGGTTTTAGGTTTTGGATTTTAGGGTTTAAGTTTGGGGTTTAGGTTTTAGAGTTTTGGGTTTGGGGTTTTGGGTTTCAGGTTTGGGGTTTTAGGATTTAGGTTTAGGGTTTATTAGGGATTTGAGTTTTGGATATTGGGGTTTGGGATTTAGGGTATAGGGTTTAAGGGTTTAGGGTTTTGCAGTTTTGCGTTTTAGAATTTAGGGTTTGGGTTTCAGGGTTCTGAGTTTGGAGTTTTGGGTTTAGTATTTCGGATTTTGGGTTTAGGATTTGAGGTTTAAAAGGTTTAAGGTTTGGGTTTGGGGATTTTGATTTTAAGGTTTAGGGTTTCGGATTTTTTATTTTAGTGTTATGGATTTTAGGGTTTGAGTATTGAAATTTAAGGTTTTTGGGTGTAGGGTTTGAGGGTTAAGGTTTATGATTTTAGGGTTTAGGATTTGGGGTTTAATATGAGAATATCTTGTGAAAGAAAGAGTTGATCTTGTTTCTCTATAGTTTCTCATTTTGTTCCAGAAACAAAAAAGCAGATTTTTTTTACTTCTTATTTCTGTTCCAAAGATATTCCTTGACCACTTTTCTGTTTCGAGGAACAAAAAACTAATTGACGTTACTAAACGAATTTCTGTTCTTTTTCTATTTCGAGAAATAAAAGATTAAAAAAAAAATAGAAACGTTACTAAACAGGCCCTAAATATGAACACCGAGGAAGGGCTTTGAAAAGAAAACACATGTCGAATGACTTTTCACCGTCCGGAGAGGGAGACATACAAGCAAAGAGGGACCCCATGAGCAACCCACAAATCGAACAGCAAGTCGTTTTAGTCCTCGCAGCACTCGAAGCCTGTCGTGCCCCATCCTTCCCATCTTTTGCTCTCTCTTTTTATCCCTTTCCTTTTTCTCACAAATCGACCAAAAGTTCACCGAACGACCGCCGGTCAGATCCACGCACCAGATAAAAGTAATACCCCGTCACTCACATCTTAGTTGCAGTCGATGTGTAGTCGCGTGACGGGGGTGTAGGTAATGTCGCATTGTGACAATGGTTTCATGAAGATGATGAGAGATTCTTCCTTTTTGGCTTCACAAGAAGCAAGGAAGTGGATAACGAGGTGGTAAGGTAAAAAGACTGGAGATCTATTTCATTCCTCATATTCGAGTTTGGAGCATCTACAGCTTTGCGCGTAATTAGCACCCGGCGATCATGGGTGCATTTTTGGATACAACTAGTTTCTACGAATGAGAAATCAAGATGCGCGACAAAGGGTTACCTGTTGTCGTTGCCATTGTTGATGTGGTGCATCAAAAGCGAGACAATCTCGGAAAACTGAGGGCGTTTTGAAGGACTGTTGTTCCAGCATTTCGTCATCAGATTTCTCAGGAATTGCGGGCAGTCCTTTGGAATCTCCGGCCTGAGTCCGCAAGCGGCGATCCCCACCGCTGCCTGAACTGGAGAATAAGCAGCATAAGCTGCCTCCCCGGTCACCATCTCCCACATTACCATTCCGAAACTGTAAACGTTACTCATCCATGTCTCACTCACACTTTCAGGATCGCCTGCAATTATCTGTCAAAACCAAAACCGAAGTTATTGCGTATCTCATTTAATTTTGTCAAATAGATTTGCACTTTAAACATCTCTCTTTTCATGTTGTAGTTCACTAAAAGCAGCTTGCAGCTTGTTTCTTCAGAGACAATGCTCATTATTTTACCGTAGTTCCGCTCAAACTGTCCATCCTTGCAAGCCATCAGTGAGAGGGAAGATGTATTGAAAATTATTGAACTTCCATGGGTCCAGAATCAGGTAAGAGCTGAATCATATCTAACGAATTGGACTAGTTCTACCAAATAGAAAGAGGCGATCTAGAGCACTGTGACTTAATAATGGATAATGTCGTAACATCAATGCTGGATCCCTATGACACGGCTCTGCCGAAAAGGTCACTAAAATGCAGCTCATTAGGAAGAGAACAAAAGCACCATCACTGGGGGCTCCACTAATGCACCTAGTTCAAATCACAGGTGCCGAGTCCCCACTACGTCTTCTAAGGTCATGGCCGGGAGATGACGGGATTTAGTGAAAGCAATAGAATTGCTTAGGCAACGGTAGACAATTATACTAACAGTAAAAGCAAAAGCAAAGGCAATAATGAAAGGCATGGAAGGCATGCTCATTGAATGATGTCATAATAATGACTAAAGTCCCTTTTGGGAAGCATGGAGTGAACAACCTCGTAAAGCGCAGCCTGTGTGCATGGAATCTGGTTGAGTAACTTGCACAATGGCGACAAGGAAAAAGGAGCGAAATAAAGCATAGAATATTTCTCCCGAAAGACATGCTAGATTGAATGAACAAGCGGTACGGAGTATGAATTTTACACGGTATGGTAAAATGACAACTGGAAAGCAGGCAACAGGGTAATCCAACCGGCGATAGTTGACTTTAGGTTAAACAATTTACATCCAAAAGGTTTGTAATGAGATTTAGTATGTTTAAAGAAGATTGGACAATCGAAAGACAAACGACGTGTGATCAAATGAATACAACTGTCGAGAAAATATTCCGACTGATACTTCAAAACTTCAATCGTACACATGGAAAATGTTTATCGAGTTAAAGATTGGACAGTTCTCCGCCATGAGCTATCTACATGTGGACTAACGAAGGTAGTGGAGATATGCAGCAACATGTGTTGGTGAAGAAATAGCAACATATAAACTGGGCTTGATCCAATTTCGAATGTGTTGGGAATTTATTGGTGTCGAACACCAACCTAACAGCTAAGGCCGTGCTTGATGAGTATAGTGTTTGTTAAAAAGGAAAACGTGCACAGCATATTATTCAAGTGCGAATCAGGAGTGAACAAAATAATGCAGCAGAATACAAACCTCAGGAGCCAACCACCGGTAACCATCGGTTTCATAATCCATTGCTTCACCAACACTCTTACAAGCAGCAACAATGCCCATATCCCCCAAGCAGGCATTCCCATGGCGGTCAAGCAAAATTCTCTGTGTATTGAGGTCTCTATATGTGACGCCATGTTCGTTCATAAACTTGATTCCTTCTACCACATCGATTGCGATTCTGACAATCTCCCTGATTTGAAGCTTCTTGCTTTTAAGCATCAAGTCATGAAGAGATCCACCTTCCATCAACTTCGTCACAATGCATAGCCCATGACTTTCATCTATGCAGACACCGATAAATTGCAGAACATTTTTATGCCCACAAGTCATTAGCTCCAAAAGATCTTTTCTGAGCTCGAACTCATAAGAGTTCCCCTTATCACAACCCTTGAGCTTCTCAATCCCCACTCTCCTGCCCTTATAAACCCCTTTGAAAGAACTCGGGCCAATCTGATCAACGAATTCAAGATTGTCCGAGTTCAGAAGCCATTTCGCAATCTCGTCCCCGCCCGACTGTATGGTCTGCCACTCATCAACCGAAACGACATATGATGATGTGGGAAGGGGCATCTGAAGCTGAACCTTTGGATACAGATTCTCACTACCATTTCGATAATTCAGCTCCCCCACGTCATCTTCGACCTGTCCTAGTTCTTTACCGTTTGTGCTCTCTTCTTGACAGCCACATAGCCCAAAAGCCAGCTTCACAGAGGTGGGTCTATGCTTCTTCATGGCCAGCTTCAGGGCATTCTCGATTCGGGTCTTGAACATCCTCTCTTGCTCTGCTTGCACTAACAGAAGAACAATCCCTAGTGTAAACCCCTTCTTCTCAAAGATCTGTATCTTCTTGCAGCAAATGGAGGCATTGTCGAGTGCCCCTGACATCGCCGACCACGAGATTAACGAGTTGCAGGCAAATGTGAGCTTAAAAACTGACCCCTGGACCTCATCCTGCGACACTTCTTGGATAAGAATCGCGGGACGATCATCCCCCGAAGCCTGCTCCATCAATTTGATATGGAGAAACACATCCTTCATATCAAACCCTGCTTGCGCATAACTGCCCAAAGAATCACCCAGCCACAACACATCGCATCAAGAAACAAAACACGAAAACAGTGCCCTACAAAAGATAAGCAGAGCAAGGACCATTCAATCGAGTCAAGACCAGCTTCGGGATCAAATCAAACCTGAGAGGCAAAGCATCGTAATGCTTGCGAATGTTGGAGACGAGCTTCTCGGGCAACTGGCTCCCCGGGTACAGCTGGGTCAAGCTCCTCACGACGCTCCCCCACACCATCCTCCGGCATCCGTCGATCTTGGAGGGATGCGGCGGCGCGTCGCGCGACGAGTCCAGATTCAGCGAGTTCTTCAGCGACGCGATGGCCTCCGACACGTTCCGGCTCAGCCTCTGCAGCTTCTTCTGCATGACCGACGACGACGACGCCGACGACGGCTGCTCCCTCGCCGGTCCCGAGGACGAGGACGCCGCCGCCACCGGCGACCCCTCGGACCGGTCGTGGGTCCGCATCAGGACCTGCTCCACCATGTCCTCGTCCGTGCTGGCCCGGCCCGACCAGCACTCCAGGGCGGCTGCCATCGGACTCGGGTCGGGTCGAGATCCTGAGTCACAGAGAGTCCCCGAGCGCGAGTGACCCAGGAACTCTCTCTCTCTCCTCCCTCTCTCTCTCTCTGAATCTTGTTTTCACTACCCAAGTTCACGACAACAGAGAGGCGCCTGTTTGCTGGCACGTAACATCAAAAGAATCGTTTTTCCTTTCTGGGTCTCGGATTCCCATCGACCCCGGTTCAGAAGAACGAAGCCGGGAAGAGAAAACGGCGGCGGCGGTGGATCGTCAGCTTCCTTCCTTCCTTCCTTCCTTCCTCCGGAGGAGGTGGCGGTGGTGGTGTTTCTATCGAAGGGGCTGGTGGGGGTGTGACTAGACGGGCGTGCGATGCTCGCGAGAGCGACGCATGTGAGAGTGTTGAAAGCCCTTTTATACACACGCCGATGGGGGAAGAAGGAGGTGGTGGTTGCTCCGGATTCGGATCGTGTCGTGAAAATTTCCGCCGCGGACAGACAAGCGAGGTTGTCTTGTCGTGAACAATGGGGGATCTTCGGGCTCGATGATGACGGAGCTTACATGCGGAGACCGAACAATAATGGCGTTCGAGAGCAAGCCCAAGAGGAAGAGAGAGAGAGAGAGAGAGAGATGTCGGGTTTGATTCGTTGATCCAAACCGAAAACATCTGACCGATGGCGAGAGCTACTGGGCAACGACTTGACAGCGAATGTGGGGGGTGGTCAACAGTCAAGTCGCCTTCAAGAAGAGTCCAAGCTGAACTTCGAGACCGCTTTGGCTTTAAGATGTTAGCTCTCGAAATCGATCGTAATTCCGAGGCGATGTTTCGCAATCGGGTCCGACCCAAACTATGACATCTACTACTTGATCGAACAGAATAAGCGCTTTCAATTTCAAGCACGCATTGAAGATGTTTTCGATATCGTTGGAGATGGCTCGATGTGATTACCGAAACAACAGGACATTTGTAGTCGTAAAGGTAATCAAACTCCCAGGAGAATTCCCCGCCGCAACGTACGTCATGTTAACTTGAGAAAAATACGATATGTTTTGCCTTTTTAGGAAGTGTTCGAGATTATTGAAATTGGTCCCTCCTTTATTTGGAAAAAGGTAAGAGGTTGAAAAATAAGCAAGGAGAGGAAAAAGAAATTTAAAAAGAGAGTTCCATTTTTTTCCCCTTGATTTCCCCATGGCTTCAATTTAAAAACAACACAAAAAGAAAAAAAAAAAAAGGGTTTCTTCACCTTCTGTTTATAGTCACCTCCATTTTTACTCCATTATTTTTTGTTTCTCACTTTATATTTTTTAGGCTAAAACCTAAAAGTAAAGTAATATAAATATGTTTACATTCCATTTTAGTATATAGACTGAACATAAGCATAATCATTGTAAACAACACTCTACGACTCTATCCACATTTCTTTACCCACGTTTTGGAAAACATGTCCTTAAAATCGATCACTTGTATCGTTTATTAAGATAAATGAACAAAAAATATTTTACATCGTTCACTAAAACATCTAGAACGAAAACATTTTTTGCTAGTTTATTCTAAACGATATGATCAATCATTTTTAGGAAAGTATTTTTTAAATCATTTATATTTCGTAAAATAAGCAAACTCTAAAAGAGAAAGATTAAATTAAGACCACATGCAACTTCATACTGTCTAGATATTGTGAGACCCGTCTGGGGACAGAAGCCACAGTTAGGACCTCCAAATTCTAACCACTGGTCCTGTTCCCCTTTAGTTTATAATTATTTTTTTCTCCTGAATTTTTATATTATATTCTAGATGGGGGGTACTATGCCTATTAAATTCAGTTGAATCCTGTCTTAAAAAATAATTGACTGTGCCTTGTAAAATTGTTGGGGTGAAGGCATGATGTGAGACGGGGGGAATTTTTAATCACTCGACAAGATATTTCGATATAACAGAGCACACCTAGCCATTTTCGTATTAAATAATATGAATTGAATATACTTATTCGATCGGATACCTTCCACTTTATCATAAAAAAGCTTGCTTGCGAAAATCGACATTTAAAACATTGTCAAATCATCTTATTATGAGAAACTTGAATTATTAATTGATGTAAAGTAATTGATGACATGCTATGAAAAAAAATCGTATTAAAACTGAGATAGATGGGACAAAAAATAAAGTTATAAATTATGCATGGGTCCAGCGGTAAAATATTTATAAAAAAAAAATAGGAAAAAAGTCACGAAAAGTCTCAATCTATACTCACCGACACATTTACCTTTAAAAATTTTTCATAACATAAAAAACTTCAAACTTGTACTTATACGATACATTTACCTATTGTCAAGGTTCCGTTAATTTATTTTTCAGCACAAACTATATCGTTTTTATTTCACTTAATCCACGTAGGCGTTATGTTAACACTATTTGCTTTCTAGCGTTCATGTAGGCCAATTTTTAAAGGATCTCATTGACAAAACTTTGACAGAGGGTAAATATGTCACACAGGTGCAAGTTTTGAAGTTTTGATGTCGTTTAGAGTAAACGTGTCACGGTGGACATAGTTTAGGATTTTTGGTGGCTTTTGCCAAAAAAATTAACCGAGGATATTTTTTGCAGGAAAAAAATAGATTATAATTTCTTAAAAAGTTAATATCACGAAAAACCTCAAACTAGTACACCTGTGACAAATTTATCCTCCGTCAGTTTCCGTTAAATTTTACTGTTAAATTGCTTCGTTAAACGACACGCCGCAATTGGCGGATGTACTAGTTTTGGGTTTTATCCTCCATTTGTCACATGTGTACCAGTTTGTGATTGTTTGAGGTATTAATCCAATTTAACAGAAACTAATTGAGGATAAAATTATCGCAAACGTGCCGGTCTGAGGTTTTTGGTGGTCAAAAAATTAGTTTTTGGTAAATTTATCGCATGTGTACCAGGCTAGGGTTTTTGGTGGTCAATAAATTAATTTATGATAAATTTGTTATAAATATACCAGTTTAAAATTTTTCGTGAGATTAGTCCTTTCTCAGATGTTGGAGTTCACCTCTATTGAAATAGATAGCGCAGATATATATATATATATATAAGCGAGGAGAAGGACATCCGATAATGACCGATTAATATAACAATACCCCATTATCGTCGCAAGAAAGAAAGGAAGAAGAAAATATGATTAGTGTTTTTGGGGGAAAAGGACTTGATCAGGGAATTTTGACATTATTTGATTGACGACGGGGATGGGACGTTCGGGGGTGGTGGGTCCCGCCCCACTCCTCAAGTAAGACGTGGTGGTCTGCACCCCCACCCCCCACCCCACGTGGCCCCCACCACATGCAGAGCAGGGAGATAGCCGCCCCCCCCTCCACCGATCGCGAAGGGCTCGGCAATCATCCACCGTTGATTCCGGCGAGCTAGAGAGTGTATTTACGAAATTGCCCACCCCGGGTGGGGTGGGGCGGCGAGGATGCGGGTCGAACCGAGGGCCCCGCACCCGGCGGTCGAATCGCCGAATATGTCTACTGCAAGTGGCATGGCCACCAACCCCCTTCTAGTTCGCAAATCGCAACGGGGCGACGTTAGAGGCCGATTTGTAAGTTCCCGAGCGATGTTCAATTCGATCTTCGCGCTCTGGTTCCGGTCAAATTAGTTCCCGTGCTCTCTAGTTCGAACCAATCGATTCTTCAAGCTAACATGGCAATTTGGGTCTTTCGGGAGACTCGGTATGCATTGATTCGTGTAATCACATCGACGGAATTTTACAAAAGTAAATTAAAGAAACCGAAAGAAGAGTAGCTCTAAGAGGACAATAGCTTTTCGAGAATCACCGGCCCTTGCTAGCGGGGACGGGACGGGGGCACCGTTACCCCTACCCAACACACACGCACTTGGCCGTCTCTATCCGATTTTGTTATGTTTTTTCTTAATTTTTTTTAACGAAAAAAAAGAAGAGGCAATCAGTCGATCGTGAGCACTTTTGATTTGAGCTTGTCAAGATCGACCGAGTTTTTAAACACTTTAGCAAAATGTTCAATCTATTTCTTCATCGGAACACGACATCGTTTCACATGATTTCGAGAGCTCTATGTTCCATTCTAGAGATAATTTGTGCGCGCACGGGAAAGATCGATCATTCGAGATGGGAAAGTTTGGGGGTCCGCAGTAGTACAATTTGTTGCTCCCGAAATCACTCCTTCCGTTAAAAAAAAAGAAAGAAGAAGAAGAACCTATTTAATTTCAGGTGTACTCGTCGTGATTGGGTGCTAAAAGGACTTCGGAACGCAAAACGACAACCCGTCGGTGTCGTTCCCGGGGGGCAGTGAGCGGCCCACCTTCGCGAGGTGGGCCTTGAAGGTGGGCCCTCGAGTCTTGTCTAGCCCGGTCCAACCTTGGACGTAACAGCCCGGCCCACATTGATGCCGAGTCAGAGGCTCGCTGTGCTGACACGTGTCCCTCTCTCTCTCTCTCTCACAAACATTTCTTCGGCTAATCGGAAAAGAAATTTCCACGTTACAATCATCCTGCCCCCCCTCCTCATATTGGACCTCTCGGCTGTGGATGAAATTCCCTCGTGACGTCACGCTGGAGCTGGCCCTACGTCACCCTCCCCAATCCGGCTTTCCTTCATGTTTCTTATTTCATTTAGGTTTCCTTTCCTCGCCTCCTTTTATCCCCTACTCACTAGAGCAATCGAATGACAATAAACTCACTTTCCTTAGAAGGTTGCAGCGACGGACTCACCGATCTCGAAGTTTTGGGTTGGGGTCGGTGTGGAGTAATTACAATTCCAATCGAACATTTTGCTGTGCATGTAAGATCACTATGGTAACTTCTAAAGAGAATGCCGAGCAATAGTCGTATTCCCATCCTTTTGTCTAGAAATAAAAAGTGTATTCTGTGTTTTGAACGTGGAAATATCTTAGAGAACTCGTTAACATGAATCTTTTCCACTTTTAGATTTATTGAGTTTTCTTATAATTTTGTATTGGTGTGTCACCCATTTTGTTTGGGAATGCGATTTAATTATTTGCGGCTCCATTTTGCCTTTTCTTCCCATTTCTTTGCCTTTAGTCAATTTTCTCCCGAAAATTGAACTCCACTTCGGGGTGTAGTGTGGCTTGGGCCGACCTTAAAGAGCCCGAGAAGTTCATTGCACTAATGGGCCTGGCCCATGAAGGCCACAAAATTCGGTGATGCAGACATCGGGTCGGGCTACTTAACCCGGTACCAAACAGAATGTCCACAAAAAGGCCCGCCTTTGGCATCTGACCACGTCAAGGCCGATCGATGTCCTAACAAGCGAGGACCCATATGGACTCGCATGTCTAACCGGGTATCGGTCCGGCTCCCGGCAATGGCTAGTGCATCTGATGAACGGTCGCCAGTCACCCGCCCTCCTCTAGGCCCGCCTACGATCCCGAAA